GGACCCGAAACCAAGCCAATTAAAACATCAAATAAAACTATTGACTCTTAGACTGTATTCTGTTTACGACCCCCAAATCACGCTACCACATATGCGGGTCGTGACATCATTGCTCGGATTCGAAGAATATATCCACTGGGTGCACTCACAAATACACTACAGGTCAATCATTATCTTGCAATTACCCAGATGCGAGTAGTTCCTTACCAGGTTCACCAGCAGATGGCACCAGCAGCTGGCTGATTCGGCTTGAATAACATGACAGGTATAATTAGGAAAGTTCCCTTAAAGGGTTCCGATAAGCATCCCGTATAAAAACAATATGGCGGCTCCAGGCGAATCAACTGGATCAGTCCATTTTTAAGAAATAAGGGGAGTTCTGTAAAATCCAGTTTATTGAAATTGTCTTTGAGATAAAGTAATCCGTTTATAATGATTTTGAAAACGTTATCCATGGAGTGATTGCGTTCAAACAGTACATGTACAACAGCCAATATAAATCCTTGTATTAGAACTGCTTTGTTTCATTTGTAGGATATTTCATATGCCAAGCTGTGTGCTATTACGTTATGGGGAAATTTAGATGCCAATTTTTCCTTATTATACACAAATAGAAGATCCTGAAACTTCACCCATAAATTTGGAATTGATTTGTCAAAATAAAAATCACCCTTTTATAAATGTGTGACGATCTATAATATACATATGCTATATAACAGTTAGAGGTGTTGACACAACGACATCGAACCTGTGAACCCTTGAGTATTATTCCAGGATCGGGCCTTTATACTAAACGGTGAGCAACACCAGAAACGAGCGTTCGATTTGCTAAACGATATGCGCCACCCTTTAAAATATTAGCAGTATAAGTGGATCAATTTTCATAACCCTTGTGTCTGATAACTATAGAAGCGAAAACATGTCCAGTGAAAGAAAATAGTATCTGTCAAACACAAGAAAAATATTTTACTTTTTGTGATTTTGTAACATGGGGTTGATGGGATATCTCCCAGACCTAGAAGTCACATTTTTAAAGAAGATTAAACATTAATAGTTGGTTAATACTTTTTTACAAAACATTCTACATGCAATTTTACACGTAGACTTCAAATATGATTTCCCTATAACTACATTTTGAATATTAGATGAAGATTATTTCTACTCGCATCTAGTAAATTAAAGAATTAAAGCAGACAATAATTATGTATTTCCAGAAAAAAACTGTGGCGTCAGTTAATTGTTACCCTTTATTATTATTATTATGTTTATTTTATCCACCAGAATTGGTGTGTTTACATGTAGTACATATAATATTACATAACGGGTACAATTATTTGATATATACAATACGAAAAAAAATAAATGATTATGTGCAACCAATCTTTGATGTTGACGGACGTCAGGCTACCGCGTTGACGCCGTCTGTTTACATCGTACCTGATACATACAATTTTTTTTAAAAACAATAAAAAGGGAAAAGGTATATTATTTACAACTTAACCTTGCTATTGACGGACGTCAGGCTACCGCGTTGACGCCGGCGATTTAACGTACCTGTTACATACAAAAAGACAAGTTAGACTGTTTGTGCACAGCTAATCTTTGCTATTGGCGGACGTCAGGCTACCGCGTTGACGCCGTCGATTTACAACATACCTGTTACATTCAAGTTATTTTTGAATTCTACAGCGTTTAAAAAGGGTGCCTTACATTAATACTCTGCATTGGGTCTTGCCACATATATTTCATTTATTGACATGGCTACCTTAATATATTGATCTTCTGTTAATACATTATTTTCACCAAATAGAATTGGTATCAACACGTCATTTGGTGGGAGTGGGGTATCAAGGTACATCTGACTCAGTATATCGTCAATATTTTTCCTCTTTGCCTTATGTCCGGGACATTCTAGTACCATATGAACTAAGTCTTCTGTAGCTTCTCCACAGACCAAGCATTGATCATTTATCTTGTCACCTGACCACTGTTTACAATTAACCATTAGGTTTCCTTCCCCCGTTAATAGTTTAACCATGGTTCTACATGGTTTAAGTAGCATGGGATCACACTTTGCTAGGGTCCACCAAATAAGGGGGGATATGTCTTTTTGAACCATTCTGAATAAGGACAGCTTTCCATACAAAACACATTGAACTCTCCAGTTGCTTATTTCTCGCTCATACACAGCCTCTTTTACTCGTCTTTTCCACTGCAATTTTGGAATAGTTCCATTATTTAGCATTTCGTATATATCACCTAGAAGTCCAAATGATCGAGCGATTTTAAGGCAATCTCCAATTGGAGACAGTTTATGAAGAGTATAATACGTTGCGAATGTTAATCTAACTATGACTAGTTTATTGTACACATTTGAGATGGGAAGTGCTAGCAGTTGCCAGAGTAGCATCAGTTTACTAATGAAGATTTTTGATGATATCGAGTGCCACCCTAGTGTAGCTGTGCAAGCGGGATTACAAGTTTTGGACGAGATCCCTTGGATCTTTTTAGCAATTTCCCTATGCCCTCCTTCCAGTTTACTCATTGCTTGCTCATTTACCGAAATTAGTTCTAGGCCATATGTTAAAGATGGTATGCATATCGACCAGTACAATCTTGACGCAGTGAGGGGGTTCGTGGGGTTGTTCATAGTAGAGGTCACACCAATATAGGCATTCATTGTGCGCCTTCCTTTAGAGACAGCATTGTCTGCGTAACTTAGGTCTGCTTTTGGTGTAAGCTGTAATCCTACGTGCTGCATCGAGTCAACTACCTGTAACTGTTTCCCTCCAAGCAGTAAGCGGGGTTTAGGTGGATCCCTTTGATTACTAAAAACGACTGTTTGGCATTTGTCGGGGTGATATTGGAATCTCCATCTAACACTATATTGGTACACCTTATCTAATAGTTGCTGCATTGATCTGGCGTGATATGCAATTAAGACAGTATCATCTGCAAACGTTGGGCTTGTCGAGTTGATACAACATATGGTGCTACCAATGTTAGAACACTGTATTTCATTAAGTAATTCATTTGTGAATCGGGCATACAATTCCATAGAATAGATTCCGCCCTGGTGGACTCCTTTTTCAACAACAAACGGTTCGGACATGGGACAGTTTGGAGAGGCCTTGATTGTACATTTGTAACCATTATATGACAATTTGATCAACCTCCACAACTTGCCATTTATTCCCTGATTGTATAATTTATATAATAGTCCATTGTGCCATACACTATCGAAGGCTTTTTTAATATCAAGTGACGTCACGATGACGTCATTCCCTAACTCAAGTCCATGTGATATTGCCTCTCTGGCTAATAGGGAGGTGTGTATACTAGAACATTTTTTAAGGCCGACACCTTGCATCTCGGACTTTGGTTCAAGACAAACGCATTGCTCACTTCTTGTCATCATTAAACGCTCCATTACTTTCATATATGACGTCATAAGTGTGATGCCCCTGTGATGATCCTTATTTAGTGGATCTTTGACACCTCCTTTAAACAGAGGAATCAAGACACCTAATTTGAAATTCTCAGGGATATGTTCTAAAGATATTACACAATTAAATAATTCTGCAAGTACATTTGTTACGATGGTACCTCCCTTGTTTAAATGTTCTGAGCATATTTTGTCCCAACCAGGAGCTTTATTTTTCGAAAGTTTGGAAATAACATTTTCAATTTCTGCTACAGAGACGGATTGTTCAAAAGCAAGATCATTGTTTAAAAAGCTTTCTCGTTCCATTCGAATGATGTCCTTATTTACATTTTGGAAAAATACATTATCATAGTCATCTTGATCGCTACCATGAGCTGACACCAATTTCATAAAATATGACCTCCATTCATTTGTGACATCATTATCATCAGTCAATATAACCCCATCATCAGATTTGACAGCATTTATGGGAGCTGATCGTGGCTTTCGTCGTTTAACCAGATGCCAGAATTGATTTATAGAAACTTCCTCCAGCTCATCAATCTCCCTCTGACATTGAAATTCATAATTTTGTTCACATTTTCTCAGTTCGCGCCTAAAACATCTTTTTGCATCCTTATATGCTTCCCAGTGTTGATTTCCAGGAGAGCGCGATTTTCCGTGTATAGCCCATTGCCTCCACGTGGCTTTCTTTTGATTAACTAAAACTTTCAATGATGGATTCCAATACGGTTTTAAATGTTTACAATACTTGGTTTTAGGAAGAGTTTTATTTGCCGCCTCGTGAAATATCGATGTTAGCATGTCAAAACAGTCGTCTATAAACTTTGCGTCGCGTAATTCACTCGATTTAGTCAACAAGGGCATAAGGCGTTCTTCTACTAAACGATGAACTTCACTGGAATACTCATTTAACTGTTCAAAGGATGATTTTTTCCATGAGACTCGTGCTGCTTCTTTCTTTTTATCTGGTTTGCTTTTCAAAAGGACCTTGTGGCGAATGATCAATTTGATCGGAAGGTGGTCTGATAGGTTTAGAAATTCATTTTCAAAAACATTCAATTTAATACACTGACCTACAGCATGTTCAGACACTAAAAAATGGTCTATGTACGACTGACCTGTATAGTCTCGAAAAAATGTATAACACGGCCCTGTACAGAGTGGGGACATATCAATGGGGACAAGATTTGTCCTTGTGCACATGTTAAGCAAATACAAGCCATTTCGTGTGATTTCACCCGACCCTCTTGTTCCCACTGTATCCCCAAAATCTGCGTTAAAATCCCCGGTAATAATTACATCGCCATCATTCTGCAAATCCGCTGTAATAAGTTCAAGTCTATCTAAGACTTCTAAGAAATTCGCATTTTTACAATTTGCGTGAGGCATATAAACACTAATTATGTGTAAATTACGACAGCCAGGCTGCAGAACCTTAATGACTATGTATCTATCACATTTGAATTTCTTTACATGCACAATATTCAGGTCTGATGATTTTCGCCAGAAAATAGCGATACCTCCATTTCCGATAGAGTGTCCTTGGTTTAAGGGGTCAAGTGATTTGCTACTTTCAGCAATGCATATGAAATCTGGATGAACTTTATTTAACTCATTTAAGGCACCCGGATAGAGCCAATGTTCACTCAAACATAGTATATCAGTTGTACAAAGCAAGTTATACAGATATGGACTTGAGGCATTCAGCCCATTTGCATTCCAAGACGTTATAGCAATGTTACGTGTTTCTGACCCTGTCATGACCATGGGCATTAACAAATGTGTTACAATGAACAGTACTAAGTAATGCATCACAAATGTTACTTGGCTTGATATCGATGTAAACACTAATATGGAGCATTATTCCCTGTTGCTCGCAGAGAGTATTTATGTAATCGGGACTCGAAATCTTTAGTAGAGTCGCGTATGTCACTATAGTATCTATCATCATTATCATTATAATCTTCATCGTATGCATCATCTGGGCTTGGGTACTGCTCCTCGCGATATCTGTTCGACCTGTAGGTGATTCGGGGAGAAATGTGTTTTCCACGGGAGGTAGGCTTATATTCCCAAGGACGACACGTAACGGGATTTGGCCATGCATCATATGCCATTGCTTTTTCGACTGCAGATTTGGGAACTATGAGTTTTATGCCTACACGAATCGTCGAATATCTATTTCGGACAACATACATTTTTGTGACGTTAATATCAATGTTTGATTTGATGTGATCCCTAACTAAGTCTTCAATTTCATTATCAGTGTCTCCATGTTCAATTTCTACGTTTTCTAGATAAAGTGTCTGAGTTTTTTCATAGGCGATTCCTTTAAGTGTGCGTGTTTTGGATGTGGTGGGCGCTTTGGCGTTGGAAGTAATTCTTTGTTTCAATTGCCCTAGGGATTGCAGGTTAACTTGTCGCTTTTCACCAAATCTTATTCCAGAGTCTTTACGATGACGTCCTCGGTCTACGAGTGTGAACCCTTCATCAACATTCGGAAACGTGTCACTGATTACTGGCGTTGGTGTGAGAGTTTCATTTACAGATGGCTTTGTAGAAGAAATGTCATTTTTTGAGCACCCTGTATTTGAGCCACATTCATTGTTTTTGTTTATCTCGGGTTTGTTATTGTTTATGTTAGGTGCAGTTTCTCTACCAGCTGATGTCTTTGTTGTAACATTAGCATACGTCTGGACGGGCTCGGAATTAGCTCTTGGTCGTGAGTTACAAGACGGTGAGAGTGGCTTATTACCAGAAACAGGGTCTGCACTAATTGGCTTTTTCCCGTAATGCGGGCTAAGGGACATACATGTATGTTGGCCCAACTCAATTTTAAGCTTGTTCACAGCAATATTCAGTCTATCTATTTCACCTTGATGGTCCCTTTTTATCTCTTTTAACTGTTTGCGCAATTCCACCACTTCAGCAGTTAATTCAATAATCTTAAGTCTCGTATCCATGTCAAGCGCAGTTGGCGGGGGTTGGGCTTTTTTCGTTAAAACAGGGATATGGCTTGCTTGAGAGGTAACACTCCTCGGAAAAGTCTCAATATAGTCCATTTGGTAGCAATACAGGTCATAAATGTCATTTGCTAAGCTAACATTTTTTCTTTCACCGTTGCGTTTTTTGAGCTTAACTTCTTCAATTTGATCATAGCCCCTGGCAGAAACTGGCCCGTATTCCTTAGCACACTGTAAAGACAGCTTAGACTTTGCAACGTCAAACAACATGTTTCTGGATTCATTTAACAACGTTTCATCAATATCTAGCACTAGTTGTTCCGTAACTTCGTGCCTTGGCATACAATCAGTATTGGACAATATACGAGTCACACAAATGTCTAAGTCGCTCAATGTTTCATGGGATATGTGGCCTCTATTTACAGACGCCATCTTGCTCCCAAAATATAAGGGGTAACTTACAGTTTTTGGACCTTCGGAAAAAGACAATAATCCAAGTTTTGTCGTAATATATCGGTTATCCTGTTAATCCAAATATATTCATGTATAAGTCCATTCGTACAAAACACGTTTAAAAGCCAATTTCTAGTAGATAATCGACATATTTGTCGGAGCCTTTGTTTTAAAAAACCACGATAACTACTGCCATCTATATCGTTTGCATTCGTTTGACTTCACTTCTTAAAAGAGAGCTTCGTCTTCACTCTTTCAAACTAAAATAAACCTGTGAACTCACCGCGCCAATCAGTATTCGTCGGCCAAATTTGACCGACGTTCTATATATGGCCATTCCTTCTGACGTCATCGTTGAGCCCGGAATTGACCAATGACACGCGCGTATTTAATTAGCACGCTTTTGGCGTATGTTTGATTTATTACCCAAACCCAAACCCGTCGTGGGGGCGGGGCTACTAAACTGTAATATGGTCTCTATTAGGCAGAGTGTAGTTTAACTAGACTCTGCGCGCAGGGTAGTTAATTGTAAATCTGTAAACTTGAAGTTTAATGGTACTGTATCATAGTCTGTCATCTCCAACTCATAATTGTTGAATTGGTTCTGAACAGTAAGACAATAAGCATATTGAATGAAAAGTAGCAATGAGTGAGCGTTTTATTTGTTAATGAGTAAGTGTCTCCGACAGAAGCATACAAAACATCAACAGAAGAAAATGTCACCACCTTTCAAAGGTCATTGAAGGTGATATCTCAGATTTGAACTTCTGAGAACTTGAAGATGATTTTGAAAAATGGTCAATTTGAAACAAGTTCGAAAAATACCTTTTTGAACTTTGTTGACCTTGCACGGCGTGAAAGGTGTCCCAATCTAAGAAAATCCTATCTTGGATAACAGCAGATAAATCCGTGATCCAGATATACGCAATAAAATGCTAGATAATTATTACACAAGGCGGCAACGGCAAATCTTATCTTGCATAACTCCGCAATGGGAACCCCTGTGATTCAAGAAAATGCAAAGTTTGTATTAATCTGGATCACACAAGAGTTTTATCGCATTTTCCAATTTATTTTCTGTTTTGTACAATAAAGTTCTTTGTTAGGTGGATATTTTCCCATTGTGAGTGAGATAAGTGGTTTTTAAGATAGACATATACCTGCGTTATTTAATCCAATGAGAGGTCATTGAGTTCCAAATGGACAAAATTGGACAATTTGAAGCAAGTTTGAAAAATACCCTTTCACCATTTGACCTTGAGAGGGCCATTAAAGATCAAATCTTTAATTTGACCTTGGTCAACTCCTGAGTCAGATTTGAACTGTTAATAACTTGTAAATGGTTTTGAGAAAAATTGGTCAATTTGAAGCAAGTTCGAAAAAGACTTGTTTACCTTTTTACTTTGGGAAGGTCATTGTAGGTCAAATATCAATTGTAAAGTCAATTTTCAAGTCAAACTTCCGAGAACTTGAAGATCATTTAAAAAAATGATTTTGTCATTTTTAAAGCAAGTTCGTTAAATACATTTTTGCCCTTGAGAAGATCATTTAAGGTCAAATGTCAAATCTAAAGTTAGATTTTAACTTCTGAGTATGTGTAGATGATTTTTAAAAATTGGTGTATTTGAATAGTCCGAAAAAGACCATTGTGACCTTTTTACCTACTTTGACCTTGAGAAGGTCATTGAAGGTCAAATGGCAAATCTCAGCCAGATTTGTGATTTTGTAACATTGGGTCGATGGGATATCTCCCAGACCTAGAAGTCACATTTTTAAAGAAGATTAAACATTAATAGTTGGTTAATACTTTTTTACAAAACATTCTACATGCAATTTTACACGTAGACTTCAAATATGATTTCCCTATAACTACATTTTGAATATTAAATGAAGATTATTTCTACTCGCATCTAGTAAATTAAAGAATTAAATAGACAATAATTATGTATTTGCAGAAAAAAAACTGTGACGTCAGTTAATTGTAAATCTGTAAACTTGAAGTTTAATGGTACTGTATCATAGTCTGTCATCTCCAACTCATAATTGTTGAATTGTTTCTGAACAGTAAGACAATAAGCATATTGAATGAAAAGTAGCAATGAGTGAGCGTTTTATTTGGGCTTTAAAGTGTCTCACATAGTCGATCAAAATTTGCCATGCAAACATGTTAGTCTACTTTACTGGCCCCCCTTGCTGTAACAAGGAACCCAAAACACATTAAAACGTAAACATAAACCAATTAGTCACTTCACTATGAAAGTGAGGGGTGTACGCTGTGTACATGGACTAACACAATAGAGACCTTAAGATTGCACCAAATAGTAACCTGTACCTGTACCTGTACGTGAAACATGATGCGCGCGCAACAAATCATGTAACTTTATGCTCCATTCGACACGTCTGACTTGTTTTATAATCCCGTTGACGTGTAAATTCAATAGCGCTGGGCGTTTTTGTCGTCTTGTTGTGAACCTGTACGCGAAATATTGTGAGTGAGATCAGTATTACATAACTATGTACTATTTATTTCATGGTCTCATTCATTTTACACGAGCGGCAAGACGTGAATTTGGCACTTTACAGGTTGGTTGGAACGTGAGTTTTGAACCATTGATAAATGACTAAAAAAGCAATGTGCTGTTTATTTAATATGTTATTAATTTAAAAGTAACATATCTGTCGAATAGCTGTGTATGTGCTATGTTTCGATAAATAACGAATCCTATGGGTAAAGTTGCAGATAATTTCAAGTATGAAATAATGGCAATTCGTATTGCCATTATTGTATCACTTATATGAAAGCCATACTGTTCCGGCAGACTAGACTATTTCGCTTTCTCCTTTACATGCCAGACTGTTTTGTTCTGTTGATCAGTTGTTTGATGTAAACCATCAAATATCACTTTTGAAACCATTGAATATCACTTTTAATATAAAAGTGATACTCGATGGTTTCGTGATTTCTAATATGAAAAAGTGAGATTCGATGGTTTCAAAAGTGATATTCGATGGTTGTTTTTTGCTAAAATATTAATATCTTGATCCACATATCAAATATATCTTCAGGTGATATTCGATCTATATCCTTGCAACCATGGGAAGGTTATGGGAGGTTCTGTATTTGGGATATATCCTATCTTGCTAAGGGGAATATAGATATCTTACCGAGGGCTCGGACGGTCCGAGGTAAAATATCATATTTCCCGAGGGATATACCCCATATTAAAAACCGAGCAACGCATAACTGATTTATCTCATGACAAGTAAGATTTTTACGAGTGCGGTTTTTAGGACACCAATAGTGCAGATTTGTTTTTAAAAGTGTTTTCATTCTCAATATTTTCGAAAAAACATCAACATTTTGGTCAAAAGAAATGCTACCGTCTGCTGCATCCATCTTGACAGTTTCGCTTTTGCAAGATATAACATAAAAAATTGACTGTTTCTACACTGGACAAAAACGTTTCCACGGAATATTGGAGCGAGAGATATACAGTGGGGGATATATATGTATGTACGGACAATCTTACAGGCCGACATGTTGGCAGACCGGCAGGCTGACATACTGGCAGACCGACAGGCTGGCAGACAGAACGACAGCCTGGCAGACAGAACGACAGACCGATATGCCGGCAGGCTGGCAGACCGAGAGGGTGACAGACGGACAGGCTGGCAGACCGATAGGCTGGCAGTCAGAACGACAGGCTGAACGAAATGTTGGCAGGCAGACAGACCACCGTGCTTTATAGTAAGAACCACTACATAAAACAAACAAGCAATCAAGCAGATTAACACACAAACAAATCTCCTCAAATTATCAAGAGACAATTATCAAGAGATAAATATCTACATAGCAACAATTGGAAATAAATAAAAAATCATACTTTCATCACCAGATACCCACTTATTCCTTGTTTCGTACACGTACACGTCGACGAGTGACTAAGGACTTGTTTTAGGCGCACAAAAGGAACATTTAAAAAAACTGTACGTGTACGTGTAATTAAGGTCGTAGTGACATGTACTGTTTGTAAACACGAATGCCTGCTGAGCAATAAGGCTAATAACGAACACGCAGCAGCCCAAATTGACGTGGGATTAAAGCCGGCCAGTTGTGAAAGCGATATATCGATTCAAAAGCCCAGTGTTGTGAGTAGTTCTGATACTAATAGTCCTGGCTCAAATAACCGTAAAAGCTCTCTCAAGACAGCTACGTCGCCTAGTAACACAGTAACAAAACCCGCAACTACAAATAATTGTGCAACGTTGGATGCTCCCCCTATAATGACCACCAGTAATGGTTCTGATTGCTCTACGACAGTTGCATCAATCCCCGTGGATCCAATAAATTTCCCACCACTAGTGGCTTCAGAACCGAAGCTGATTGACTCCTCGACGTCTCCTCAAGCCCGTGTCCCCGCCATTCCTCCAACAAAACCTCAACCTGACAAGGAGGTTAAAGGGATACCGAAGTCCTCCAAACCAGGTGTCCTCACATCTGGCAACAGCGGGCGTGGAACTGCAACGACAAAGAAACTATGTGGAGTTGAAAATGAGCCATCGCGTATAGTGTATTTGGAAAACATCTCTCAGGGTATTGATGATTCGGATGAGACCACAAAGGATCTAGTGCTTAAATACGCTCATGATTTAGGTTTGAGAATAAACCAAATATATGTTATTCATAACAAAGTTTCCCGTAATAAGGTAGGATGTAAAATATACGTACCTAGCTCGATGTTCAATAGAGCCATTGATAGTGATATTTGGCCTGACGACGTGAATAGTCGTGAGTGGATTTCCAGACCTCGGCGACAGAAGCAGAGACCCGATGGTGGCTACTGGGTAGGCGACCAGGAGGATAGGATCCCCCCACGTTTCAGAGGTCGTTCCACCTATGGTTCCAGCAGTAACATCAATCGACCCAGACGTGATGAGCATCGCAATCGTGATGTGAAACAGTACCATGAAGATGATGAGAGGCGACACAACAATGATGATTTCGACAATAGACGACACTTCGATGATGACTACATGTATGATGAGAGGCAAAACAATGATGATCATGATGATAGACAGTACTACGATGAAAACGACTATGATGAAAGATCTAACAATTATAATAAATCTGATAATCATAGAAAAGGTGATAACAATCGGGGCCAGTTCCTACAGGCTGTAAAGAGGATCCGAAACAAATACCATACCGAGCAGTATGACGCATGGAATGACAGGTCCTAATAAAGTTATGACTTATATGTACATGCTGTATTTAATCGTCACTATGGTGTTTTTAAACTTGTGTCAGTGGAATATAAACGGGTTTAATACATCTCAGATACTTCTCCATAAGCTAATGCGTGAGAATGATATCGTATGTATATCAGAACACAAAATGTATGAATGTAATGCGTTTAAACTCAATTTAATGCAAAATGATTTTAACATGCTCTCTCGTAGTAGCAGACTGCTCAATCCAATGCATTGGGTCAAGTATGGGGGCATGGTGGCGTGGCTATTTTATGGAGGAAATCTCTGTCAAATACATTACCTGTTACTAAATTTTGTACTGATAGGATTGTCTGTATTGAAATTGTGTTAGATGTACCAATCTACATTTTTTCTGTGTATTTGCCACAACCAACTTGTGCTAATGATTGTTATGAAGATGTTCTGAACACATTGCATGAATTCATTGGTGTGTGTAGTAACAATGGTAGGGTGATTGTAATTGGTGACGTCAATGCAAACATCGGCAATTTGGGTAATACTAGTAGAGGTGTAGGAACTCCATCTGCGAATGGAAAATTGTTCTTTGATATGTGTATTAGTAATGGTCTTTGTATAAGGGATATGATGAATGACACAGTAGGACCAACATACACATTTAGATCACATATTAACATAGGTCAAACGTCATACATCGATCACATCGCTATATCACATGAATTAGTGGGTAGTGTAACATACTGTGAAGTGTTTGAGGATTCTCCAGACTTGTCATCCGATCATCTTGTTATTCTATCAAAACTTGATTTATATAATATTGTACCCATTGTGCGTGCCAAACCCCCCAGTGAGCAGTTTGCTTGGAACAAGCTGTCTGATGACGAGATTACGTCCTTTTACACGACGAGACTTGAACGTAACATTGAACCTTTACTTACACAAGGGCGACATCTTTTAAAAACCAATGATATCAGGAATGAACAAATTGACAGTTTTAGTGAATCATTAGTGGATACGATTATCAAATCTTCCTGTGATGTACCTATCAAGAAATTCCGGAAGCATCAGAAACCTTTCTGGAATCCTAATCTGTCACATCTGGTAAAAACCAAGAATGTCGCATGGCGCACATGGGTGAGTGAAGGGCGCCCACGTCAGTCAGACAATGAGGTACTTTTATGTTATAAGGCTGCTAACAAAGCCTTTAAGAAGGCTTACTCTCAGGCACAACGCGATTTCGAACAAAAAGAGCTGGACAAACTACAAGACGACGCCATAGATCAACGACTTTATTGGCATCTGGTCTCTAGGAGTCGGGGAACTAAATCACAAAGGATTAACTCTATACGGGATGAGAATGGTGTAATTTTATCGGATCCATCTGAAATTCGCAATGCGTGGATGAAGCATTTCTCAAAACTAGCTACACCTGGAAAATCCCCACATTTTAACAAACAATTCCACGATTACATCCAACGGCGGGTGACTTCATTGAGGACAGAATCGATGCCGAACAAAGACGGGATTCTTGATACGCCAATCACTGAGGACGAAACTAATGATGCTCTTAAGGCTCTTAACACAAATCGTGCGTGCGGATGCGATAAAATCTCAGCTGAACACCTAAAATTCGGCGGCCCAAACCTAGTATCAGTACTTTGTGTTTTTTTTAATATTATCCGTAAGCATGAGCATATCCCCCGGGGTCTTTGTATCGGACTACTCATACCATTGTTCAAGGGTGGGAATAAAGACCCACTAGATCAGGACCACTACCGTGATATAACTCTGATGTCCTCGTTGCGGAAGTTATTTGACAATGTGTTGCTCAGCCGCAGTAAACATCGTTTCCTGGCACACATCCCGCAACTACAGGGTGCCTCGATAGATTCCTGCTCATCACTTCACACTTCGTTTTTATTACAGGAAGCTATATCCCATTGTAGGGATAAGGGTTCTACCGTATATTGTTCTCTATTGGACGTGCGCAAAGCCTTCAATTCAATGTGGATTGATGGATTTCTATACAAACTTTACAGATGCGGCATGAATGGAAAGTTCTGGAGAATGATGTACACGTCTTACAAAACTTATAACTCACGGGGGATAAGCAAAACGAGGGCGAAGCCACGGTTTGCGACTCGCGTAATTCAAAACGAGATTACAACGCATTATAGCTGAACATGGCAGGATGGCATGTTAGGATTTGGGGTAGATTATTGGTTTGGATATTCTACAGAATAGCTAGTATGTTGCAGTCGGTGATCAACATATTCATACTCCACCTGCAATGGCATTCTTGGTGCTCGGCTGTCCAATAGTTTAGCATGAACACAAATGGATTCGAAATGTGCCACAAAAAATGTAATTTTGTCAATATTTGTCCCTAATATACCGATTTAAACAAAGGAATCAGAAATGACATCGAATTAATATAATTATTCATGTTCTGTTGTTACAATTACATCTTCGTGTGATATTTGGTAAGCGGAAAACGTACAATTACATAGAAAATTGGAATTTTTGATAGTCGCAGTCCATCCATCTGCCCAACGCAGTCCGCGACTCAGTGTTGCTTTATATCTGAAGCTGAACGCAATCACAGCCAAAGGTAGATAGCACAATGTGTGTACAGGTGTGGTCGAAATGGAGCAACTTTGGACAAAATTGAATATAAAGGGCTATTTTAATAGACCTACATCGTGTCTCAATCCATTCTGCAAATATATACAAGCTGTCAAATACGGCTGAAATCATGAATTTATGATAGCTAGCAATATTGATGGACTGTTGGAAAGATCATCCGAAATTACATTAACTCACCAACTCTCCAATTATTTGATATTTTCCTGATATCTTAAATACTAGTTAATGTACCCTTCCCCAACAGCTTTTATTGCATCATCAAAAAGTTAATTGTTTCGCATTTCTACTTCTTATAAAAAGTCTCACCACCATCCAATTATCTTTATATTTAACCCTATCCACAAATTGGTTTGTAATAAACATATTACGTTGTCATCTTGCGCTCGACTGTTCTGCCAAATACGCTATTGAATTGCCATATTTCTAGGTCTTAAACGATACAATATAGCAATTTGGGACATTGATTCAGGTAATAGATATATGTTAATCAACGTAACTTTGAATGATAATCTGGATGCTGACTTTATTTTCCTGAAACAATAATAGCGTAGGAATATAGTTTACACTTTCTTATTTATTTCGTGTTCGCGGCTGGACTGCGTTGCTTAGAATATCAATGGAGGCTGTGTTGCGTTGTTGAAATAGCTTTGTTTACTGGACTGCGTCCACTATGAATCTAATTTTCTCCTCATGAACACATTCTATTATCAAATCATTTTCAAGAATTATACTCGGAGCCTCAACTAACCTTTATATATCAGAAACGTGTTAAAACTCCTTTCAAGTGTATAGTAAATTAAATAATATGCACATATTTTACAGGTAAAATCAGAACTTTGCTACTGTTTTAGCTTGATCTGGACAACTGCTTATTTTCTTATCTACAGACCAACAGTAGATACAGAGTAATATTTTGGTCACCGATTAGACACTACGATAGCATTTAAAATTCCTGGATTTCTCTACTTTGTCGGAAGAAGCAGAAGGCACTGCCGGATGTCCCTCCATTTTGGCGCTGGGCTGCGGTGTAAAGTTACGCGAGTCGCAGTCCGTGGCTTCGCCCTCGTTTTGCTTATCCCCCGTGTAACTGTTCAATTTTATATGACGGTGAATGTTCTAGCAGTTTTAATTTCGAACAGGGTGTCCATCAGGGAGGGGTGATGTCGATGATTGTCTACCAATTCTACCTCGCAGATCTCTTGTATGATATTGTGGGTGAGAAATGTGGAGTACGTATAGGTGGCACTGATGTCTCAGTAGTTGCGTACGCAGATGACCTATCACTTTTATCTCTTAGCATGCAGAATATGAACAGACTATTAAGCATCGTGTGGAATTACAGCTCATACTGGCGAATTACTTTCCACCCAGGGAAATGCTCGCTCCTTATTTTCGGCAGACCCAACGACGGCAAAGATACCGCTTTACTTGGCCCCAGTGCAATTCAACAAAAAACAGGGGAGCTGCACGTCGGGATACCCCTTGGGAACCACAATGATTTTGTAAAGCAAACGATATGCAAATCAAAACAGAAATATTTTTCGTTATTGGGGCTTGGCTCTTTAACAGGAGGCCTTTGCCCATTAATGGCCAGTAAGTTATATTGGACTTTCTGAATGAGTAAGCTACTGTACGGTTGCCAGGTAATAGACTATAGTATTCACGAAATAGAGCAAATGGAAATATCACACCGTGAAATCGGAAGAAGAATTCAGTCACTTCCCAAAAGTTCGCCGAACCCCATAGCAGCTTCAGGTCTTGGATGGCTTTCTATCAGAAGACAGATAGATTTCTCGAGGATGATGTTCTTCTGGAGTATTATAGTGTTACCAATGAATAATATTTACAAAACAGTCTTGATACATAGATTGCTGTGGCTTATAGAGGGGAATGGACGGCATAACTCTCCACTTTCCATCATTTGGAGAACACTTGAACGGTACACTTTTGCCAATTTATCTATGAACATGATACAGTCTGGGGAATATCTCTCTAAATCAGGTTTTAAACGCGTTGTAAGAAATGCTTTATACTGTAACGAAGCAAATAGCATTAGAATGATGTGTTCTTTGTATAGTTCCTTATCATTTTATTCTTGTACAGTATCCATCTCATACGTGCAGCCAAATATATGAGAAAGAGTCGAAGGCAAATATACAAAGCCGGCTTTCAAAACCGGCTTTAAAAGCCGGCTTCTACAGTACATCAGAAGCCGGCTTCTGGCGGCACCAAGAAGCCGGCTTTTAAAAACCGGCTTCGAATGACTTACAGAAGCCGGCTTCTGCAGTTAGCAAGAAGCCAGTTTTAAAAGCCAGATTCTCTCTCTCAATCATTTTGTTGTGCATTATACATTACTCTAGTAGCTCATGCTGGTTGAGTATGCACTTCTATGTCCAGAGATTTTCTCTTCAGAAATCATCTATGTGAAGGTCATTGATCAATTTTGGCTTGGTAACATATTTGCCACAGAAGGCGAAATAGGTCAAATGGCCACGCCCTTTTTTACGCGAATACTCCCCCCCATTTTTGCATCTCCGGAACCGTTGGACATAGAAGGTTGTGTGACCACTCAAAATGTCCGGAATGGCCACATTATAGGGGGTCAATAATACATATGTATTTTAAAAAGTCAATGGTTCTCAAGATATTTGCCAAAAACTGATTTTAGCATGTTACGCACAACAGTTTTCATCTATCCTGCATCATTTAAGACTGAATCCGCAGCCTCTATCTAGTCAGATCAGGGAAGGAAACAAACTTTTTTGGTTGTTGAGTTGGCCATAAGTATAAGGTGCTAGTACTGTAAATCAGCGTTCTAAGATGTAAAATAGTACAATCAAAATTGTATCATACCTTTTCAATGCTGTAATTAAAAATTGACATAATGTTTGCATTTCAATTCTCCAGGGTTCTGAGAAAAATTAATATTTTAGTGGAAAAGATAAAAAAAATGATCTGTTAGATCAAATAATTAATACACTAGTGGCAAATGGGTCTTTTGCTGACAAAGTGGCCTAGTTTATGCCTCAGTTACTTTATTATACATAACATATTTTGAATTAACATAGTAATTCAGCACTTGACTTGATAGATGTAAGCATGTTACATGGAGTTCTTTATTGTAAATAAAAGTTATTATTTTAAAAAGTATACAAAGTAATGTACATGGATATTTAATATGAAAATACACAGTACACAGGCCAGGCCTGTACCCAGGATTTGCCAAGGGGGGTTCACTTTTTGAAAAATTCCAGGGAGGGTTCACTTGTGACAATTTTGGTCCTAATATGGCCAAAATCACTTATAGAGTGCTCAGAAAGGTGAAAAATTGAAAGATTTTTTGGGCTGGGGGGGGGGGGGGGGGGGTACGGGCCTGCAGGCAAATTACATTAGGTCCTGTACAAGGTTATACAAGCCACATTCCCTATATAGGCTCTGTACAACCTTGTACGGGTCTAGTGATGCGTCCCGTACTTGCTCGTAAGAACCCATAACTTTTGACCCACATCCTTTTGCGTGCTTGAATAATAGTTCAATTACGAGCCTCGTACATGCTCGTTCAAACTTGTATGTTGCCCAGTATAAATTACCTGTGTATATACTAATCACAAGATTCTAAGGCATAAAACTTGTAGCAAGGCTGGCACTTGTTGGACTTTCAACTTTCATTGGGTTAAGGTTTAAATTATCAGAAGCTTTATTTAATTGAAAGAAGCTATTGAATTGATAGTGCCTTGTATAACATACTGGGGGTCAGTTGAATTTAGGCTTTGCTCTTAGAGTATCATTTGTATTTTATTTATTCAGGCAATGGGATTATACACAGCACTAGAGATATCAAGGTGAAGTCCAAGCAACTGAACCAAGATGCAAGATTCATGGTGGTCATTAACAGGAAAATTGACCAGACATACTATTGCAACATTGATATAATAATGCCTGATCTTTCATGCCATGTGATCTGATTTTATATAAATTAGTCTGTTCTGTCTGGTAACATTGACCATGTAACCATACAAACTTGACAGTGATATATTTTACATATCCTAATATTTACAGTGTCATCTTAAGTCGAGGAATGTTAATGTTTGGGGTGCATTGAGAGTACCTCCCATATATCCAATTCCCCCATTGGGGTGTATTGAGAGTACCTCCCATATTTCCAAATCCCCCATCGGGATGTATTGAGAGTACCTCCCATATATTGGGGTATATTGAGAGTACCTCCCATATATCCAAATCCCCCATTGGGATGTATTGAGAGTACCTCCCATATATCCAAATCCCCCATCAGGGTGTATTGACAGTACCTCCCATATATTGGGGTATATTGAGAATACCTCCCATATATCCAATTCCCCATTGGGGTGTATTGAGAGTACCTCCCATATATCCAATTCCCCATTTGGGTGTATTGAGAGTACCTCCCATATATCCAAATCCCCCATTAGGATGTATTGAGAGTACCTCCCATATATCCAAATCCCCCATCAGGGTGTATTGAGAGTACCTCCCATATATTGGGGTGTATTGAGAGTACCTCCCATATATCCAATTCCCCCATTGGGATGTATTGAGAGTACCTCCCATATATCCAAATCCCCCATACTGCTATATGGGTGTATTGAGAGTACATCCCATATATTGGGGTATATTGAGAGTACCTCCCATATATCCAAATCCCCCATTGGGTGTATTGAGAGTACCTCCCATAAATCCAAATCCCCATTGGGGTGTATTGAGAGTACCTCCCATATATCCAAATCCCCCATTGGGTGTATTGAGAGTACCTCCCATAAATCCAAATCCCCATTGGGGTGTATTGAGAGTACCTCCCATATATCCAAATCCCCCATACTGCCATATGGGTGTATTGAGAGTACCTCCCATATATTGGGGTATATTGAGAGTAACTCCCATATATCCAATTCCCCATTGGGGTGTATTGAGAGTACCTCCCATATATCCAAATCCCCCATTGGGGTGTATTGAGAGTACCTCCCATATATCCAATTCCCCCATTCCATATCATGTTTAGAGAATGCTCACTTATAGTTTGTCTTTTTTGTATATAATCAAACCAATGTACACAACATTAAAACGAGCAGCATTACAAACATATTTAGTCCTTTGGGTTTTATACCAATATTTGTTGGACATTCGGGTATATCTGCCAGCAGGAATATCATACTTTACCAAGGAGAAAATAGTGGAGTTTTCATTCTAAAATCAGTTTTTGGCAAATATCTTGAGAACCATTGACTTTTTTAAATACATATGTATCATTGACCCCCTATAATATGGCCATTCCGGACATTTTGAGTGGTCACACCACCTTCTATGTCCAACGGTTATGGAGATGCAAAAATGGGGGGGGGGAGTATTCGCGTAAAAAAGGGTGTGGCCATTTGACCTATTTCGCCTTCTGAGGCAAATATGTTACCAAGCCAAAATTGATCAATGACCTTCACATAGATGATTTCTGAAGAGAAAATCTCTGGACATAGAAGTGCATACTCAACCAGCATGAGCTACTAGAGTACATCTTATTCGCGTATAATTAGCATAGAAATGAGAAAAAATGAAAATAAGTAAAATTGTAACATATTGCAAGATTTTTTGCAAAAAGTAATTTCAAACCAAAACTATGGGGGAAATTTAATTCTAAGTAAAAATATCGATGAATTAAATCATGTTCGTTAAATAAGAGTAGATGATGCATTGCATTTCTGTTTGATAAAAACGCATCGCTCATTTTACAAAACTGGCTCCAACTTGGAGCTGTTTCATGATAATTTTAATGTGCATTATGCATCTTATTCTCGTATAATTTGCATGAAAATGAGAAAAAAATGAAAAATACGTAAAATTATTACATATTTCAAGATTTTTTGGAAAAAGTCATTTCAAGCCAAAACTATGACAGTGAATTGAATTCTAAGCACAGATATCGACGAATAAGATCACATTCATTAAATCAGAATAGATTATGCATTGCATTTCCGTTTAATAAAAACGCACCGCTCATTTTTCAAAACTGGCTCCAACTTGGAGCCAGTTTGCAAATCAGCTCGCTCCATCTTACACAAGCTATGTAGGGGCAATCTAGCAACTGGGAATCACGGGATACTGTTTCATGATAATTGTTATGTGCATTATGCATCTTATTCTCGTATAATTTGCATGAAAATAAGAAAAAACTGAAAAATACGTAAAATTATTACATATTTCAAGATTTTTTGGAAAAAGTCATTTCAAGCCAAAACTATGACAGTAAATTGAATTCTAAGCACAGATATCGATGAATAAGATCACATTCACTAAATCAGAATAGATTATGCATTGCATTTCCGTTTAATAAAAACGCACCGCTCACTTTTCAAAACTGGCTCCAACTTGGAGCCAGTTTGCAAATCAGCTCGCCCCATATGACAAATGCTATGTAGGTACAATCTGGTAACTGGGAATCACGAAATACTATCTCACGATTATTTTTATGTGCATTATGCATGTTATTCTCGTATAATTTGCATGAAAATGACAAAAAACTGAAAAATACATAAAATTGTAATATATTTAAAGATTTGCAAAAAGTCATTTCAAGCCAAAACTATGAGAGAAAAATCAATCCTAATTAAAAATATCGATGAATTAGGTCATGTTCACCAAATCAGAACAGATTATGCATTGCATTTCCGTTTAATAAAAACGCACCGCTCATTTTACAAAACTGGCTCCAACTTGGAGCCAGTTTACAAATCAGCTCGCTCCATCTTACACAAGCTATGTAGGAACAATCTAGCATTTGGGAATCACGGGATACTGTCTCACGATCATTTCTATGTGCAGTATGCATCTTATTCTCGTATAATTTGCATGAAAATGAGAAAAAAACTGAAAAATACGTAAAATTGTAACTTATTTCAAGATTTTTTGCAAAAAGTCATTTCAAGCAACAAACTATGAGAGAAAATTTATTTCTAAGTAAAAATATCGATGAATTAGATCACGTTCACTAAATCAGAACAGATAATGCATTGCATTTCCGTTAAATAATAATTAATTAGCTCTCAAGAGCTTTCAAATTCTAGCCTCAAAAAAATCTGGGAAAGGGAGGAGGCGGTCATCCCCAGCGCCCTCCCCCTTCCAAAGCCAATGTTGATATGAAAACTATCAAGTCATTTGAGCTAGGCCAATGGCACCCATCCCCACCTCTATGTTTGATGAATCTGGTAACCTGAAAACATCAACAAACAAGTATGTTATGAACAGCAAAACTGGAAGTAAAAATATCAATGTAGTATGTGACGACACTAGTGTCTTAATCCTATTGCTTCACTACTATGAAAAACACCATCTAATTGCTTATATTACTATGGAGTCTGTGTCAACTTCCAATAAAAATGTCATCTCACAACTTCTTGCTGCCCGCAGCCTAACAGACTGTGACACAACATCTAGTCTTAACCGCATAGGCAAGACTAAAGCAGTTAACAACAGACTTGAAATGCTCCTTTAAGCTGGATTGGAGAAGACCACATACCAATATCTGATGGAATACCCTGCGTGCAGAGTCTAGTTAAACTACACTCTGCCTAGTAGAGACCATATTACAGTTTAGTAGCCCCGCCCCCACGACGGGTACCCGTGACAGTTTGGGTAAATCACTTTTGACCTACGCGCTGACCTTCCACCAATCAGCGAGCTTGAAGAAACATACGCCAAAAGCGTTCTAACTAAATATGCGCATGTCACTGGTCAATCCCTGGCTCAACGATGACGTCAGAAGGAATGACCATATATAGAACGTCGGTCAAATTTGGCCGACGAACACTGATTGGCGCGGTGAGTTCACAGGTTTATTTTAGTTTGAAAGAGTGAAGACGGAGCTCTCTTTTAAGAAGTGAAGTCAAACGAATGCAAAGGGTACTGATGGAAAGACACAGGCTTCTAAATTCACAGCAGCCTGTTATGGTATCAATCCAGTCATCTAATGTTAGATTTGCTGTGTGGACCAAGAGAAATGCTGCTAGAACTACAATCATTGTCACCTTCAAACAAGGCCTCTGAGGAAACATGCTCATCTACAAACATCCCTGTGTAAACATGCAGCCCAGCCCTTACCTCCTAAGTTGCAACCACCGGGAGTATGGCTGGCAAATGGATATTGTCAACAACATGTTAGTGTCAGTTAAATTTCTACCAAATGTTTTGTGTGCACCAGACTTAGTGCTAAAGATGATACATTGTACATGTGAGAAGTGTGCCAGCAATGATATCATTTGTATATTGTAGTCTATGCTGTAAGACTACTTTGTCCTGCAGTATATTTTGCCTTTGCAAAGGTGAAGAGTGTTGCATAAACATACCAGACTAATGGTCACAGTCACCAATGAAACAAATGATGATGATCTTGATGGAATTGTTCTGCAAGCTGTCCAAGAAGTATGGATAAAGAGACCAAAAATGATACCCTTGTTAACGGAATAAAAGCTGACACTCAATGAGCTACAATATCTTTGACAAAGGATGGTAAATTAATTTATTAATGAACAGGATCTTAAGAGGTTCTGGACAAATCATTTGATCCTGGACTTGTCATATTTTTTTTTCAACGAAATCACATCCAAGGGTTGAATTTTTATTAGCTATTTAGAGAGTGAGTCCTGCCTAGTATTAATTTCAATAAAAAAGTTAAAATAGAACCCTATTTGAGAGTCAATCTAATACTTACATTACATTGATAAATTAAGGCAAATCCTGAAATATTTTTAAAGTGCATTTTTTATGAAATATTATCCAGAGAGTATTTAGATGAAACGGTCTTATTTAAATACAAATCATAACATGATGATATTTTTCATGAAACATTTTTCAATGAAATTCAATTGAAGGGTCAAGATAAAACGAGCTAATTTAGGTGAAAACCCTTACATGATGATGTGTTTTCATAACTTCTTTCATAAAATTCCATCAAGGGGTGAAGATAACATGATCGAATTTAAGTGATTTAAGGATCACGAGAATATGTTTTCTTTGATATTTTCTATAAAATCCCATCCAATGGTCAAGGTAAAATTTTGATTTTGATTTGGTATTAGGTCACGTGTTCGAAAGATCCACATAAGGCCCATAGAACCATATAGGAACGTCATTTTGAATGTCACGTGATAGATCCATATAAGGCTTTTAGAACCATGTGTAACGACCCATCAGTCTGTCTACTCTTTTTAATGGTAATTATCTGGTCTGATGTGCCGTTACTGAGCCTCTTATTTGCACTGTTTCAACTGCATTAACTAATAATTTCACTGTTCACCAGTATGGAGTTTTACTGTATTATATATGTCCTGTACTTGTACTTGTATTCTGTGGTCAGCGCTTACATAGCGCCAATGCTAGTTTTGTTTACAGTTGATGCAGAGTGCATCTGTACTTTGCTTTCTAAGCCTATAGTGACTGGGTATCGCCTTGTGAATTGTCTGTTAACTTTAGTAAAGGTCACTATGACTCATACGCTTGTGCAACGTTTGGCCTGTTCACTCTATACAATTCTGCTTACAGGATATAGGTCCATTGATCATCTTGCCTTATTGTGATTACTTTGACTTATGTATGTTATTTAGTATGTCTATTCTATTGTTTGCATGTTTATAAATATGTACATAACTTTAGTTTGTCTTATTTTGAACTTTGATTCATCTTGTCATGTGATTTGGCGTAGGGATTTTATGCACTACTTGTCTTTTGGAATTTTCTCAATCATGGTGGACCAGTTTGTGTTTTCTCCTCATTTTCTTGGATTTATAGCAGTTTGCGTTGGTGAATCGTGGTGCATTGTGGTTCAAGGTAATTATAATGATATATTTTAATTGTTCTGTGACTTTGAATGGAATTGTTTCAGTAATTGACCAGTAATTGAGATGTGAACTTTTGAAGTGATTTCCATGTGTTTTCATGTAATTTCGTCTCGATTTCTCATCAAATTATCAATGTTATCAATGTAATTAGCAAGGTTTCATCATTTGAAGTATACTGAAATTACCAGTGAACGTAAAATATAACCTTTTTAATGAAAGATAGGGGCTATCTGTTGTTTTGGATAGGGGAACAGCCTGATCTAGCTTGAGTGAGTCATCATCTAGCTCCTATTAGCTAAGCTCTCCTTCTAGCCTTTTACAGCCACTTTACTGTGATTTAAGTGTTTGATTGGTCTTGGTGTATTTCAATTGTGTATGTAACTTATATAAACTTACTTGTACTAATTATATGTGATTATTTTATAATTCTTGAAATAGATTAGATAATTTTAAACTTGTTGTTCTGTTTATCTTTAGGGAGTTTAATAAGATATGTTTATCCCCTCCCACTTACATTTGACTTCCATTGACATGACATGATACACGTGACTTCTAGCCAGTTCCAGTTCCCTATG